GAAGTCATTTGACAAAACTATATTTTCATTGCAATTGTTTTCAACACAACTCGGAATGTTTGCATTATCAATTCTCGTTAATAACTAGCTGTCCCTTTCGACCTGATCGCACAGTGACCAGCGGCACTCGCTTTAAAAGTTGGCATCGATCCCGTTTCCACTTACCCGAAGGCACTGCGCGGAACTGACGAGGCAGAAAGCGGCCAACGGTGCCCATCACACCTCCTTCGGGATCTCGCGTGTGGGGCACTTGCCATGTCCGGGATTTTAGACAGAGGAAAACTGGAAACGGAATGATTTTCGTTTCCTTTCGTTTCCTTTCTGAATTTGAAGCGATTCATTTTGTATGTTGTTACATTAGTGAATAAAGTAAAGAAACGTGAAAATCGCTGCGATCTGGTTAGTGACGAGCCATCTTATCTTAGTGCTTATATTCTGTATATATTTATAGCAAAACCAAATTACTGATAATATATTCTTGTTTTCTTCCTTGGACTGCACAAGGAGTTCCAAATACATTTCCACTAGTTGCATACACTATATAAATTAACTTGTAAAAGTTACATAATGCTACGATGTTACAGCACACAGGCAGTTTTCCTTTTCACATTTTTTTTTCTCATTTACCCTGGATTTATGAGGACAGCCTACGTCGTGTACTGACCAGTTAAAAAGACCGATTTATTATTTGTTTTAAGCCGAACAATGAATGTTCTACTTAAGATATTAAGGGGCCATTTAATCAATTAAATCAAAGTATAAGGACAATTGGCAAAGGACTAAAAGCTAATTAAATTACGTAAAACACAAGGACTGTCTGGAGCAACATCTGGACCGCGAGACGTATATGATGTTTGGTTTATCACTTTAAGCAGTGTTGGAGGGTTCATTTATCCACACGCGAGGTTCACTAGATTTAATGACGACGGTCACTCTTAAATAATTAAATAAATAAATTTTATAATAAATAAATAAATAAATAAATAAATAAATAAATATAAAAATAAATAAAAAATCTTAAATAAAGTTTGTAAAATTACAGAGAGAAATGCAGGTATTTTAAAACATCTTCCTGCGATGTGTCTAAGTGATGACACAGTAACAGCTACATTCACGTGGCCAATTCAGTTATACAGCCTTGCTGAATAACTGTTAATGTTATATTACAATACCTAGCTCCCTGAGATAATACAACGAAACATAATATTGGTAAACATATAACTAAGTCGCATAAGTGAGAATTATGGTTGACAATCTTACTCTATGATTATTTGCGTTTACATTTTTTTCTTTTGCTTCAACACTCATTAAATATATCTGCAACCTTTAAAGAAACTCCAACCTGCATTGGTGCTAAAATAACTTTTTATAAAACAGGATTTTAAAAGAAAATATCTTTAAAACAGCAGCCTGTCTGTGGCGAGGAACTTCACCTTGACGCGAACAGGAAGTCCGAGTCGGCAGTTCGAGCCACCTGGTGTATATATAACTGGAGCGCGATGCGTCCATTGACAGACTGATTTCAACTTCGCCAACATGTTCTTGTAGGCTCTCAGGCACTGAAAATCTGTCACTGGTATTGTTCCGAGCCGTGATTAATTCCTGTTATGAGAAGAAATATCCTTTGTTTATCTGCCTTATGATACAGGCATGTTAACTGTATGTTCTTATTTTACCGCAGATGTTCGTCGGCTTCTTGGTGGCGACGGCTGCCGCGGCCCCAGACCACTACGGACCGCCTCAGACCGGCTTCTATGGCTTTCCCGGGCCCTATTCAGGTCCAGTCATTCCCATCCTGAAGGACGAGCGAGAGGGACCTGATGCGTCTGGAGTGTACAGCTTCGAGTTCGAGACCGGCAATGGCATCAAGCGAGAGGAACAAGGTGCCCCTCGAGGACCATCTGGCGCAGTGGCCATGCAAGGAGGATGGTCGTGAGTACAATGCATGACTTTTTTGATACATTGCTTTCGTCAATGAGGCGTCTGCTTTTGTATTAAAGACATAAATGCTTCAATATAGAATTTAACAACGAATTCTATATATCTGATGTTCACTTTGATAATCTAGTGTTTGATTTGTGTTCAGCTTCACCTTCCCCGATGGCTCTCCCGCCGACGTGACCTTCGTCGCCGACGACGCTGGTTTCCGCGTGGAGTCCGACCTGCTGCCACGCCCCACCCCCCCGCCCACGCCATCGCCCAGATCGAGAAGGCTCGTCGGGAGGACGCAGCTGCTGCCGCTCTGAGCGGGCGTTACTCCGCCCCTCGGACTAGCTATGGATACCCTCAATAGGATCTTAAAATACGAATAGGATTTTAATGTATTGTGTAAATAAAAATGGAATAATAAAGCAAATAGTTTATATGTTTTCATTAGGAGCAATACATTCTCTCTATAATACATTAATGCACATAGATAGCAAATTTAAGGATTACCTTAAATTTGCTATTCATTTGTTTATATGATAAAGAAATCCTTCGCATTCACATACGTCTACATTGCCGATGTAAAGAAGGAAAAGTAAATATATGACTGTGACTACTCTAAATCATGCTTTAATTCTAGTTAGATAGGTAACTCGGGGGGAGGGGGGGGGCGACAAAAAAGGGGAAAACTCTCACTCCTCTCTCTCTCTCTCTCTCTCTCTCTCTCTCTGTCTCACATATATACATTCACATGCTAGTATATTTGTTATGTATATATGTATATAAATTTGCACACACACATGCTTATACATATATTCATATATATTGGAATACCACACACACCAATACACACACACACACCCACACACACACCACACACACAGCACACACACACACAACACACACACACAACAACAATACATATTATAATTAATAATATTATAAATAAGTATAAATATATATATTATAATGTAATAATAATATATATTGAAACAATATATATTGTGTGTAGTGTGATATTGTGTTATATGTAGTTATTATCACAATACTATATATACTTGTATAAATGATATATATTATATATAAATATATACTATAATATATATATATATTAATATATATATATATATATATATATATATGTGTGTTGTGTGTGATGTCTATTGTGTGGTGATTGTGTATGTATGTATGTATATATGTATGTATGGTATGTATGTATATGTGAGTGTGTAACATGTATATATGTGTGTGAGTGTATGTGCGTATGTGTGCATTAAACACGTACATTCTCTCTCTCTCTCTCTCTCTCTCTCTCTCTCTCTCTCTCTCTCTATATATATAAATATATATATTATATATTATATATATATATATGTGTGTGTAGTGTCGTGTGTGATGTGTGAGTCGTGTTGTGTGTGTGTGTGTGTGCTGTGTGATGTACTATAGAACACAACACAAAACAATAATACATTATTGAATTACAAGCACAAACACAGTACGGTATAGAAAAATGTGAGGATTTATCGAGCCACAATAAGATATCAAATAAATTAATTGTTTTCGAACTATCGCTAGTCATCTTCAGCCACGAGAATAATACTTAACCAGACAATACACAGCAACAAGTGCAGACAGACAGAACGAACAGGAGGTCGCAAGCTTCCTCAGAGGGGCAAGGTCAACGTGACCAGTGTCTAGGGCAAAGACTTAAGCTACTAACTACCGGCCCGAACGACTGATCTCAAGCCCTTACTTGCACCCAGCCACCTCCACAGTTATAACAATCTCTCCCACCGCACCGCTTCCTCCCGCTGCCACCTCTTACACCATGGCTTCAACACCACTCCTCCCTTCCCGCGTTCTATGAATTCACTTTCTTACCATGTTTCTTTTTTCTTCTTCCAGTTAAGGCGATTGAAATTTAACGCCACTGAGTGAAACAGTCGATTCCCCTATGGACGCTACCCCCTCAATTACGTCATTGCTCTTCCTTCTTTCGTTAGAAAAGCTCTGCGGTTTCCGCAAAGTTTCACAATTCTACGGGACGTTGCTACAGTACCTACCAGTCCTTATTTCCCCTCTCTCCCTGTCCTCTTTTCCTGTTTTATGAGCTACTGCATTCATAAGACTTTGCACACTTTCGCAGATGAATGTAGCTTGATATAGCGAAAACCGCAGGGTACACTCCTATATTCCGTAAAATGTTCTAACAAACTAGCCGCCTCGATACGAATAAACTTCGCTCTCCACGAATCCGAGATGACCCCCGAGCGCGTGGGCAGTCACCTACTTACTTAATAAACAACGAGGTAATTCAAAGATAATAATTAATAATAATGGCATAATAATAA